GGAGGAGGGCTGGGGGTCAGATCGGCTGGTCTGGGGGAGTAGGCGCTGCTCCTGGCCCCGCTGGATGCCGCCTGCTGCACCCCCAGGCTGCGAGGGTGACGTGTGGGACCGCGAGAGCTGCGGGGGGCAGGCGGCGATGGAGAACCCCAACCTCTGCCTGCGCCTGCGCTGCTGCTACCGGGACGGGGTCTGCTACCACCAACGGCCCGACGGTGAGGCGGGCGGGGCCCGGGGTGAGGAGGGGGTGTGAGGTTGGCTGGGCGGCTCCTGCGGGTCTGAATGCTCTCCCCGCCCCCACAGAGACCATGCGGCGGAGACACCTGTGGGCGCTGGGCTGGACGTGCGGTGGGCTGCTCCTTCTCATCTCCACCATATGCATGTTCTGGTGAGCGAGGCGCTGTGGGGCAGGGGCCCCGCGCCCCCCAAGAGGAGCAGCCCCCCCACCCCAGCCTGACACCTCTCGGGCCCGCAGGTGGGCCAAGCGCCGGGACATGCTGCACATGCCTGGCTTCCTGAAGAGCCAGTGCCACAGCCTGAAGTCAGTGTCGCTGCTGTCCAAGAGCAAGGGGTCGTCCACCACCCAGAAGAAGACGTCGTCGATGGGCAGCATGAGCGCCTCGCAGCGCCCCGAAAGCGTCATGGAAGCCTCTGTGGCGGCGGAGGGCGTGGGCGACGCCGAGGAGGAGGAGGAGGAGGAGGACTAGGGGCACCCCGGGGGGCACCCTGCAAGAGATGTATTGTTTATGGACACCTGGTCTCTTTCCTGGGGCCATCTCTTAAAATATGGTGGGATGTATTGGAGGGGGTGGCAGTGCAGAGGGAGGCTCGGAGCAATGAGAGATTGGGGGTTCTTGGGGTGTCCCAGGCTGCATGGGTGGTCCAAGCTGTAAGCATGATGTGGGGGTGGGCTTGGGGGCATTCAGGATTTAAGCAGAGGACAGTCAAGGAGTGTCCCAGGGGGCTTTTCCAGGCTGGGAAGATTCTGGAATGGAAGCATTCTGGGGGTAAGTTGGGGGCAGGATCTGAGCTAGGGGAGCCTGGGCAGGAAAGGTGTGGGCTGAGAAAAGGGACTATCTGGACCCACTGGGCAGCTGGGCTTGAAGGTATGGGGCCCTGCCCTGGTGTCCATCCATGGAGATGGGCCACCCGCTGTCTTACGCCGGGAGCTCAGTTGACATCAGCCCTGCTGCCCACCACAGGACCCACCCAGCTCCCCGAGGTTGTGCCCAACAGCCAACCATCGGCTCCCAGACTCCCCGTGGGCTGGAGGCTTCTTTCCGGAAGGGCACACCATGGTCGAAGACTCCTTCCATCCTCCTCGAGGTGTGAGACACCTCCCTCCCCCAACGAAAGTCTGTACATACCTCCAGCATACCCCCTGTGGCCCCTTCCCCAGTAAACACACCACTAGTCCAAGCCCCCCACAGTGGCTGCTCCCCAGAGGACAAGAGGGCACAGAGGAGTCCACTGAGGCTGGGCAGGGTCCTTGTCCACTCCCCTCCACAAAGGCTCTACCTTAAGCTGGGCTACACTGTCCCCAGCGGTCTCCAGTCTGATGACACAAAAGGAAACACCCAGCCACCCTTCCGGCTCTCCGCTGATCCCTCGCACAGACAGCAGACAGACACACAGTGACGCACAGCCCTTTATCACAGTGAGGAGCAGAGGCAGGAGGGGTGGGTGGGCCTCCTGATGGTCCAGCGGTCTTGGGGGCGGGACTGCTGCTCCTCTTGGACCGGTCCTTCCAGGTAGGGCTGTAGCATCATCTGCAGGAGGGAAGCTGGTGTGACCGACTGCTGGACTCCCCACCCCACCAATCCCAGAGGTGCCCTGGCCCACAGGGAGGGTGCCCTGCCCTGCTCTGACCCATCCATGCCCACATCTGGCCATGTGCTCCGTTTGCCCATCTCTTCAAGCTGAGAGTGCTCCTTCAGCTCGCTGGAAGCCAGGGGACAGGAGAGGGACGGGAAGCAGGGAGGGGAGGAGAGACAGACAGACAGTTGGCGGTGGGGCTGGGGAGGGGGGTATACAGGGAAAGTTTGAGCCCTAGAGAATGAGAGCCAGAGATGTGGAGAAAGACATGAAGAGAGAGGCGGGCGGTAGGGGGCAGCGGGAGAGGATGGAGAGCAAGTGAAACAGGTGCTTGTGCCCTGCTCCATCGTCATTCTGGCCCCAGTGTGGAGGGGGAGCCCCCTGCTAACCGCCAGTCCTCAGTGGTCTTCCTGGGCACTGGGAGCATCTCCCCCTGACAGTCAGAAGGCGTCTGCCTTAGAAGCCCCACTCTCCTTCCAAGGCAGGGCAGGAAGTCACACTCCAGTCATCCTGAAAATGCTTCAAGCACTGCAAGCAGATGACGGCTAGACTTCCGGAGCCAAGTCAACGATTTCCATTGCTCGCGAGCCAATTCTAACTCACAGCGCCGCTACCGGATCGCAACCAGCCCCCTTGGGTTTCCAAGACGTCAAGTCTTTACAGGAGTTGGCAGCCTCATTGTCCCTGTCCCGTCCCGCCCCCTCCCCCCCTGCCCAGCAGCTGGTGGGTTCAAACTACTGACCTCTTGGTTAGCAGGTCAACCTGTAACCCCTTTTGTGTTATATGGGGACAAATGTAGTCGGCTTCCACAAGGCATAAGGGGCCCATCCATCCTTTCCTGAACCGCTTGCAGACCACCGTGTGCCTAAGCATCCTCTCAGTTCTCACCGAGAAGGGGCGATGGCTAGTGTCGCCCTGGATGCAGGGGAGGGAGGTGAATTCATCACGCCCACCGGAAGCGGCTGTGTGTGTGTGGGGGGGTTGTGGCCCTTAAGTGCTGCTGAGGACATATCACAACCCTTATGCACAACAGACAGAGCTCCGCTGGCCCCGCGCCCCCCTCTCCGTGGTGATGTCCGAGCCGGTTGCTGCAACCTCTGCCCATCCATCTCCATCTCGTCGTCTCGGCCCATCCGCTTTACGAAGCAGGATGTCCCTCTCCAGAGACCGGTCTCTCCTGACGACCTGACCAAAGCAGATGGGATGAAGCCTCATCCATCCTCCCTGGAAGGAGCGCTCTGGCCCGACTTCTCCCAAGACATGTGCTTGCCCTTTCGGCAGCGCATGGCACTTTCAGTATCGCCAATTCGGCTTCCTTCCTCGTGCACAGTCCAACTCCCAGGTGCAGGCGAGGCTGCTGGAGACGCCAGGGCTTGAGTCAGGCGCACCTCCGTGCTCAAAGCAACCTCCTTGCATTTCAATGCTTTAAAGAGGTTTACCCAGCGCATTGCACGGTGGGATCTCTGGACTGCTGCTGCCAACAGCATGACGGGCCAAGCAAGCCCAAATCCTCCACAACTCCAGTCTTTGCTCTGCCGTCTGCCCAACCAGTGTGTCCCCCGGTGGTGGCTCTGTGCATGGCTGTGATATTGAAAACTCGTGTGTCACCAGCTTTTCAAGGGCCACCAGGGCCCCCCCCCTCAAAAAAAGAACATGTTTCAGCAGAGCTTCCAGGCTGAGAATCGACAACAAAGGAATCCGCCGTCCACTTTGGAGGACGTCGCCACAGAACACCATGCATCGCCGTGGGCTACCAGTTTCATCTTCACGGACCCTTCATCGGAGAACCGCTTCCGTCCGTTATGCTCTTAAGCGCCAGTCCAGCAGTGAACCCGTCCATCCACCCACCCGCCCACCTCCCTACCTTCCCAGACTATCCATCCAGTCACCCAGTCACCTGTCGGCCCACCCACTTACCCACCTGTTCCAACACATCCATCCATTAACTAACCCACCCACACACGCAACAGATCCGCCCACCCAATCACGTCTACCCATCTGACAACTCATCTATCTCCGCGCCCATCCACGCTCACCCATAATTCACCCACCCACCAACCACTTTAATATCCCCAGGGGCCCTGGGGGGGTAGTGTATATGCAGTTAGCCTGCTAACCACCAGGTCAGCAGTCCTAGACCATCGGCAGGATGGAGAAAGACGATGCTTCCTATTTCCAGAAGGGTCACTGTTCTCACCTTCTCCCGCAAGGTGGCTATGCGCTGGAAACTGGATACTCTGGAGGATTAGACAAGGAAAGGCAAGTTAGACCGTAAAGAACACCGGAAGTTTTCTGGGTGGAGCAAGGCACTGAGGACCCTCCTGGTTTGGAGACGAGAAGGAACAGGGGCTAATGGGTGTGACAAGCCTGGTGGCTGAGAGAAGCTGTCTCGTGGGGAGCCACGTGTGGCTCGGATTTCATGAGAGGGCACTGGGATCCACTGTGAAGACCAAGGTGGGCCGATGACCACGTGCCATTGTCCCTGCTACCCCGTTGGCTCTAGCGCACAGCAGCCCTATCCGACAGTGCGGAACAGGGCCCTGTCCTGCACCATCCTCAGGAGGGTTCTTAGGCCCGAGCCCGTTGTGGCAGCCACGGTGCCCATCCACCTTGTCCAGGGCCTTCCTCGCCTTCGCTGCGGCAATATTTCCACCAAGCATGAGCCACGTCCTCCCCCAGGGACTGGTCTCTCCTGACAAGCTGTCCAAAGATGAGTTCTCGCCACCCTTGCTCCTAAGGAAGATCCGTTGTTCTTTGGGCCATCCGTGAGAGCTAGCTTTCTCTCTCCCTCTCTTTTTAATAAAAGTCATTGTATCAAGGGGCTCTTACAGAGATTATAACAATCCCTACATCAATTCTATCAAGCGAACTTGTACGGATGTTGCCATCATCCTTTTCAAAACATTCTCTTTCTACTTGAGCCCTCTGAGATCAGCCCATGTTTTTCCTCCTCCCTCACACTCTCGTGAGCCCTTCACAAAGTATATATTATTTTTTTCATTTCTTTCACTGGCTGTTGTCTCCTTCCACCCATAGTTCTGTAATTCGTCCCCCTGGAGGCAGGGGAGGGGGCACGGTGTTATACATCCATCATCCCTAAGAAAGGGGGGAACTGGTAACTTTCAATATTCAACGTATTGCCCCGGGGGCTCCAGCTCGTACAGGCACGGGTTGGTTCCAAGCAGAAAGCTTTGAAACAAGTCTCTGTGGCCAGGGGGTGGCTGCAGTCCAGTCCAATCAGTCATAAGCTCGTCTTCAATCTCACTCCCAAACCAAACTCACTGCCATCGAGTCCAGCCCCATGGTGACCCCCTGCGGGTTTCTGTAACCCTTGATGGGAGTCGAAGGCCCAGTCTCTCTCCCTCGGAGCTCCTGGTGGTTCTGAACTGCCCACCATGCGGATCACAGCCCAACACATCACCATGGCGCCACCAGGGCGCGTCTTCTTTTAATTCCACATCAAATGTTTATACCACAATGGCAAGTTGTATCATCATTTGAACAACCAGTCAACGTAATTTACAACAGCACAAGAATACAGTGGGTGGGGGTTGTTAAAAAAAAATCATGTAAACACCTCCGTCGATGCTGAAAAAGCATTTGATAAGATCCAATATCTATTCATTATAGAATCTCTCAGAAAATTAGGGATCAAAGGAAACTTGCTCTGTCCTAAAAGCTGTCAACAAAAATCCCGACAACCTCTCAAACCAAGCAGGACTGCTCTTAATCTCACTGGGGGGAAGGGGAGGGGGTTTCAAAGTAAATAAAGAAAGAAAGGTCCCCTTGGAGCAGAGGCTTCTGGGGTGGGGGTGGGTCTGTTCAAGTCAATGCAGAGATGCGCTTCGCTGGGGAGGAGGGCGGGGCCGGCGAGATTCCCAAGGGATAATTCCTCGGAATTGATAGAGTTCTCTCGAAAGGACACCGGAGGATCATGGGGACTTAGGGAAAAGTTTTACCAAGATGGAAGAAGAGCCCAGGAACGTGATGCCAATGGGGTTTTCTTTCTTTTTCCGCTCCCTTTCACGACAGTGCACCTGCTGACTCTAGGAGAAGCGCATGCGCGCACGCACCAGAACCCCGACCTTTGAGACGTTTGTTGGGAAACCCTGACCCCACCCACCCTCCAGCCCTGGTCTCGTTCCTTCCAAGGAACGCCGACGACCGACATCTTTCCGTCTTCCAATCTCAGAAGACACAGAGGAGGAGCACGAGTGGAGTCCCCCGGGGTTGGGGGGGATGCCCAGGTGGCCGTGTTTGATGTGGTGTCCACCGGAGAGCAGGGAGTCCTTTGAGGGCTCCGGACAGAGACGGAATCGCAGACAGAGCTAGATGGAGGACGGATGCAGAAGCAATAGCTTCGCATTCCTGCCCACTTTGACATCTCTGATGCGTAAAGCTTTCTGTCATTTTTCGGCGATGTTTTCTTGACTCACCCGAGTACGTTCAGAGGAAAGGGGACAAGAGGTAGGGGACAGACAGGATGGCGTGGGGCAGGGCGGTGGTGGAGGGCGTGAAGAGGGGGGAGTAACCCCCTGGCCTCCCCTGAATGTCCCCCTCAGCGACTGTCACCCCTTTCAGGGTTCTCTTGGGCCACCTGTCAGGAAGACCCGGCACCTCCGCGTGTAGACGGCTTGGCCCACCTGGGGCAGGATGTGGGCATGTGGTGGCCCTTGGGGTCTTCCATGCTGCAGGGCGTGGAGAACGGGGTCAATTACCCCATAGAGCTGGGTGTGCCTGGCAGCTGGCGTGCAGCCTGGGACTTGCAAGTACTGTGCATGGCTGCCTGGGAATCTCCCTGCCTCTTGGGGGCGCATGGTGTGTATGTGTTGGGGGGGGCGGGCAGCTTCTCTGTTTCTCAAGTCTGTACCTCCCCCTGCTGCCTGGGGCTATCTCTGCAGCTCCCTCCGACACTGGGAGCTTCACTTCCTCCGGCTCATTCTCCTCCCTGGGCCTCCATCTGAGCCTCCACTCCCTGCCTGTGCACGCTTTCTTCCATCTACCCCAATGTCTCCTGCTCTCTCTCCCCACCACATCTGTCTCTCTCCGCTCGCCCCCATATCTCTCAGTCTCTCCCCAATACCTCTCCATCTCTCCCAGGGTCTCCCTGCTCTCCTCACGATCTCCCCCAATGTCTCCATCCCTCTCCCAACTGTCTGCGTCTCTGCATCTCACCTTCATGTCTCGCCATCTCTCTCCCAAGTCTCCTTTCTCTCCTCCATATCTCTGAGTCTCTCCCCAATGTCTCCCTATCTCTCCCACTACCTCCCACCTAGCCCATACGCCCCGCCCACCCCATGGCTCCTCTGCCTCCCCCATCGCTCGCATGTCTCCTTCGTCACCTCCATCGCCCCCCTAATGGCCTTCCATGCCATCGTCCCCATGTCTCTTG